AACGTTTATTCTTTTTATTTTTTAGAAAACTTATTGGTGAATATCTAACATTATGTAATTGGAAACGTTACTACATACTTTTTACTTTCCTGTAACTTACAAGGAAAATTTAGGAATCATGATTTTTTCGACCTCGAGTTTTCGACGGATTTTCACGTTTTGGAGTCCTCTAAATCCGTTTTGACCATTTTATTATGACGTCTATCTGTGTGTTTATATCCACAATTACTAAAAAACGAATACAATGGTTTGTAGTGTCATTATTAAAAAGTCACCTATCAAATGTCAACATTTATCATCTGTATCGTATGGTATCAATACACAAATAACAGACTGTAATATCTAAAAATTCGTCAAGAAATTACTTAACCCGAATTCTTAAAAATCTGGTAATAACGTGGACAAATACCTCAACAAAACTTCGGTTGCATAATAAACAATAAAGTTGGGTCGTCTCACGGCCAACTACAACTAATTAGATTTGATTATTCATCGTACAAAGAAAACAATAATAAATGACATTTCTCTACTCTATTAATTTTTGGCTCGGTGCCTGCATTCTGCAACGCTTTGTATAACATCGTACGTGCCATCGTATTGTTCGTTGCGCCGTCGTTGCTTTGTTTTTTTTTATTGTCGTTAAATTCTTTTATATACGGATTGTCTCGCAAAAATACGAGTGTCATAAATTTTGTCTTTTTTTTGTCAGTGAATAGCTAAAAAATACCGGAAATACATGGAATAATTAAACATATCCAAGAATAGTTAAAATATTGTCAATAGTTGGCAGAGTTAATAACGAATTATTTAAAATTTGATTGTTGTTTCCATTAATATTTTTTTAATGCCCTTAAATTCTTTTATGTACGGATTTTCTCATAAAAATAGTTGAAATCATTTTTAAAAATAATCCATCTTTGGATAGCTATAGTTCTGTTTTTAACAAAGTAAACCTTTCAGATTATTTTCCTTATTACAATATTGTCAGTAGAAACGACCAATGGCCAATTTAATTCTAACCTAATTGATGGCTTTTAAACTTGCCCTTTTACGTATCGCTCTGCTTCCCTCTGAGGGGTTCCGGCAGATCCCCTAGCCACTGGCTATCCTCAATCATGCTTGGGATCTAGCTTGCTTTCCCTCATCTACGATCCGCATGGCGACACTGAAGCTCAGATTGCTTATTGTGCCACCGCCACCATGCCATCCATTCTACAATCTTAAGTGGACCTCTAGCTGTGCGAGTTCCGTCATCCACTCAAGCCATAACTGCCTCACTACTGGGGACTTGTAAACGAAGTTTTAAAGACCATTTACAGCACTCTGTGCTCCGGCAAACTAAGATCTTACTCAATAGTGTTTTTGTTTCACTATTGGGTTATTCTGTATGTGTAATATGTGGAGGGTGGGTTAACCCACGGAACTTAGGCCTCACTGAGCCCATAGTGCATTCTCCTTAGTAGATAGGCATCAAAGAGAGGCAACATCTTTAACGTCGCTAAGAGGTACTTCTTTTATATCGACCGGTGTTAGCCAATTCTCGCCGAATATAAATCTTCTAATAAATAAGATCGTCGGACAATCGTAGATGATATGCTCGATGGTCTTACCTTCATGTTCGCACTCCCTACAGAGTGCAGATTCTGACAGCCCCGTAATATGGAGATGCTTATGTACTTGGTAGTGGCCAGTGAGAATGTCTGTGATAGTGTGATTAGGCGCAGATTCTGATTAGTCATAGTCAGGTATTTGTTTGCTGTAGTGTTCTCTCATGATAACTTAAAAGCCACCTGGCAAGTCAGCAGCTTCTTGTTGCATCCCATTTTTCCTTGAACTTAACAAGGGAATGTTCTTTAATTAGGTTTGTCATTACTAATATTCTCAGTCCAATAGAACGGTCAGGTCCAAAAAGTATATTGGCTAGTGAATCAGCAAGATGATTACCTTTCGATGTGGCGTGGCCTTTGATCCATCTTAAGGTGACCACATTGTTGTTGGATGCCTCAGCCGTAGCTTCGTGACATTCTAGTACCAACTCTGAGTAAATTCGTGGTCTGTCCAAGGTGAGTAGTGCTTGTCTGCTATCTGTATAGATGACCATGTTTCTTCCAGTGATATTGTTTCTGTAGTTTTATTTTGCTGCTGTGAAAATCCTTGTGAGCTCGGTTTGAACTACACTCGCACTATTGTATACAGCTCATTTTAGGTTTAGTTTAAGAATCTGGAGTATATTCCACATCCTGACCCTTGTTCTGATTTAGAAACGTCGGTATAGATATGAATCGTACCTGCCACTTCCGACTCTTCCATTTGTTCTGTTATAATTTTATATGGCTTATGGAAGAAGTATCTCGGTGAGATGGAGTTCATGTTCGCTTGAAGCACCTCCTGTCAAAAACGACGTCTTGCCTCATCAGATACTATATCAGGTTCTATTCCAACCACGCGGAGGCGTATCATTGTCATCAGAGTAACCTTCTTGATGTAAATATAAACGGAAGTGAGACTAAGAATGACTTCCATGGCTCTAGTTGGTGTGGTTCTCATGGCTCCTGTTATGTTGAGACATGCTGTTCTTTGAATTTGTTCTAAGTTGCTGATAGCTGTCAATTTTTTTGTCACTATTGGGTTGACTCAAACTTGGTTTGTGTCGTCTAGGAGCTGGATTGCCTCGGCCTTCACATATTGGAGAAGTCTTTGTTCATGACTTCTGGTGAACTTGGTGATAGTTTATTATAACATATTATCATACTAGGTCCAGGTTAAGATAAGAGATGTGGCAGTACAGAGATGCATCTGCAATTTTTCCTAGTACCTATTAAATAACTTTGATTTTACTTTCACTGGCACAGCTTCCAAATCTGAATACCATATGTCCAGACAAGTATTAGGATTTGCTCGTAGAGAAGCAATTTGTTATGTGTATAGAATTCCTTCGTATCAGCCATTACATTTTTTGTATTTCATTTTAATTTCTTCTCGTTTTTTTCTTAAATGTACTCTCCAGCGAAGCCTAGCGTCCAGGTATTTTGCTGAATCATTAAACGGAATCCTAGTATCATTTATTCTGATTGGAATGTGTTGCTTCAGTTTGTTTTTAAAATTGACGCGAATTGACTTGTTATCATTCAATTTAATGCGGCATCTTTTAGTCCAGGTATAAATGATATGAGTATAATTAATACAAGTTTGGAGTTTTCTGTGGTCTTTTCCAGTGTCGTCTGCAAATGTGGTTATTGTATCGTGCTCAAGGTTAGGTATGTCATTGAAAAGCTATAGGAAACATTTACACGTAACCTAACTAATCACAGTGAACAATATTTATAAAGCCGTTAATCGTGCCAGTGAATTTTTGCATCTATTTTGTTTTCTATTATTGTTAATTTGTAAAATAGTTAAATTGGACAATACAACCACTTATTCTTAGTTTTTGAATTATTGTCTTATTAGAATGTAAATTTATTATCATTCCTAGAATTTATTACATATTTTTGGGACACCCTGTATATAAATACACGTTGACGATGATTACATAAGTAAGATTTGATCCAACTTGAAATAGTTGCCCCAGATATCAATCTAAGATTTTCTTCAATAGAAAAATTATGGGACACGCAATCAAATGCCTTGGATAGATCCGTATAGATAGTGTCAACTTGTAGATATATTTTCTAATTTAAAAATTGCGTTACAAAGAAATGGGATATTAATTTGGCTTTTTACTATTTTCATCTATACCTACATTAATTTGTTTTTATGATACCTAGTATATTTTAAGTCGTTAATTTAGCAAAATGTAATAAATCGCCTGTCAGTGGGAGTTGGAGTACCTACCAACATCGGATGGCAGTTGTTGGCAAGTCAATGGTAAATGTTAAAATTAAATTTTAATAGTATCACGGAAAGCGAAGTGGGGTATTGACCTTAGGAGTAACTGTAAACAAAATGAGATTCAGTCACTATAATCTTTATTTGAGTTATATTTAAATTATCAACTACGCTGTTGTTCTTATGCAACAACTTCAGGGAATTTTCTAAAGATAAGCATAGCCAATTAAGTGCCTTGATAACAATTAAAAATATTTTTACTATATTTTTTTATTGTTTGAAAATAATTAAGGAATTTGCTATTTATTTACACTATGTGCAAAGATTACAATGATGAGACACTATACATTCATGCCATAAAAATAAAGCTATGACCTTGAACATTTAAAAGGGAATGTACACACTGTTGCCAATGTGATCAATATATAATTGTATTTCATGATAAATACTACTTTTGATATATTTTAGATGATTAAATGATTAAAGCCGGAATATTCTAATTAAACAGATTAGGAAAAAATTATACGAGTCATAGGCTGTAGACACTGCGGTGAGTATCTATCTCTGTACTGCATGTACAACCATGGGCGTCGTTACACAATTCTATAGGGAGGGACAACATTTTGAAAAAAAATTAGAATGTTTATTTGTTGTAAAACAAAGAAAATGTAAAATAAAAGAGTAATACAAATTAACAAGTCTCTACTAAATAAAATAGCCCAACAAAAAAGACAATTAATTAATTAATAAACAGAAGTTTGAAAAACATTTTAAAATAGACAAAAAATTAGATAGATCTAAATTACTCGAATATTATCTAATTCTTTTTTTACTTTTTGTTGTGTCTACCATCTGTAGAAGTATTTTTTCTATTTATTGTTGTTTTGAATTAAATACTACTTTTTTTATGAATTTTTTGCCAAAAACAAAAATTCTAAATTTGAAACTTGTTTGATTACGATTGTTAAAGATCGTTTACAAAGTTTGAGATGGAAAGGTACCAAATAACGTACCTTTAACTGGCCTTTAATCATTCAGTTACTCAACACTTCTTGCTTATTATTTGTTTATTATCTTTTTAATTTTGTCGCTATAAACATACTTACAACTTTATATTTGATATTTGTTTCTCTAAATCTAATTTTGACTGATTTACGTTTTTTTTATTACAGATATGTCAGTTCCTAAAACAGAAGATATCCTGGGAGTTGAACCTAGATACCATTTAAGATCCGGATACGCGGGATTACACATTAAAAATGATAATGAAGATAGGGTAAGTTCTTTTTATTTGCAGACATTTATCTTTTTTTTTTTAATTCGTATATTTTCGATTTTCAACATTTTCCTCTTTCAGATTACAGATTATTTTCAAGAAACCACCGAAAAATTGTCGAGGTATAAAAATGAAAAAAGGAAACAAAAAACTACGAACATCTGCAATAATTCCTTCAAAAATTTTTGGCTGGACGGCAACCTAGATAACTACAAGCATTTTCAAGAAACTTTGGAGAACGTTTTTAGAGAGGTCGACGATATAAAAGGTATTTTTTCTTTTACATCTCGTTACTAAAATGTTGCCGGTGACCAAGACGTTTCTTTAAAGAAGTTTTTCTGCCACATTTTGATTTTTTTAGCGTTTATTGTTTTTTTTTTGGAAATTGTCACCGACTTCTGTATTTCCCATAATAGTTGGAAGATCTAGTTAGCCCTTTAGATAGAAAATTAGTGATATTTATTGGTTTTTACTAGTATTTACCTGTATTTACAGGTATTTACCGATATTTACCGGTATTTACCGGTATTTACCGGTATTTACTAATATTTACTGGTATTTACTGGTATTTACTGGTATTTCTATCATAAGAGTAATTGTGAGCATTTATTTTTTTAATCATTACCAAGAACATTGATTATCGACTTCTATATATTCCAAACTAATGGGAAGATCTAGTTGGTTCTTCTTCATCTGGTAATCTTCTTTCAATTCCCGTTGGACTCATATCTCTGTTGTAAGAAATTTTTTTTTATGGCATACACACTTTTAATTTCGACTACTATATCTTTCAAAATAATGCCAAGATCTAGTTGCTACTTCATCACTAAATAGAAAAGTAAATATGTACTATTTTAATCTCCATTTAGCATTTACCTGTAGATTTGTTATTTTTTGGAATTATCCATTTATTACAAACTTTTATGTTGACTTTTATATCTCACAAAGTAATTCATTATTAGAAAATGTATTCCCCATTTAAATTCCGTTGGTCTCACGTCTACATATACAGGGTGTTATTGAAATACACGTACATATTAAAACTAGGTATTGCGCAGATCCCCACTGAATGTAGAAAAATATTATTTTTTAAAAATACCCCTTATTAAGGGAGTTATTAATTTTTGAAAATTAATTCTAAAACAAACGTACTTCACTGATATGTTGAGGATGACCTATATAAATTAGGTTTATTTACCTATTTTAAACATCAATAGTAATTAATATGCAAGTTTTTGTCAGATGATAAGAAAACTAGTCTTGTAAGAAATAACCATGTTGCCAAGATTTTCGAATTAATTTCTATTTCCGAAGACTGGTTTTTACTACCCTCGTTATCAAAAAACTAGAATATTTGATAAATGATTGTTTTTAAACTATACATTTTTGAAACTATAGATTATTAAAATTTTAGTTGATTTACGAATCTGGCTAACACGAGCGCGTCATTTCCAAGTTGGTAAAAAGTGTTGTTACGATTACTTTTAAATATTTTTTTACGATGCCACTATTTACGAATATTAAACTAACGGATATAGTGCTGGTTTATGGGGCAGCTGGAGAAAATTCTCGGCAAGCACAAATCCTGTATCGCGAACGGTTTCCAAATCGGAGAATTCCGGACTGTCGTACGTTTATTTCAACTGTTCAGCATCTAAGAGACCATGGAAAATTTGAGAGTGTCAATGCAGATCGAGGGAGAACAAGAACACAAAGAACATTGGCGGCCGAAGAAGAAATATTGGAAGCTGTTGAAAACCGGCCTCAATTAAGTTGTAGAAGACTAGGTCTTGAAATTGGAGTGTCCTCATTTGTTGTGTGGCGGACACTTAAAGAACAAGGTTTACATCCTTATCACATCCAAAAAGTCCAGGCCTTATATCCAGGTGATGAAGAAAAGAGAGTGGAGTTTTGTGAATGGATGATTCAAAAATGTGTTGATATTCCTGATTTTCTAAAAATATTATTGTATACTGACGAGGCTTCATTCACTCGTGATGGCGTGTTCAATATGCACAATACGCATATTTGGAGTGATGAAAATCCTCACGCCATTAGGGAAACTAGGCATCAAAGAAAATTTTCAATAAATGTTTGGGCTGGCATAATAGATCAGTATTTAATCGGGCCTTATGTTCTCCCGAACAGATTAAATGGGCCAGGATATCTCCACTTTTTAGAAGATATTTTGTCAGTACTCCTAGAAGAGATACCGTTACAATTAAGGCAACGGATGTGGTACCTACTAGATGGCGCTCCTCCTCACTTTGATTTAAACGTACGGCAGTTTTTGAACATTAGATTTCCTCAAAAGTGGATAGGCAGAAATGGACCTACTAAGTGGCCTCCGAGATCTCCGGACTTAAATCCATGCGATTTCTTTTTGTGGGGTCACATGAAACAACTGGTTTATAATGAACCTATTAATAGTGTTGAACAATTAACCAATAAAGTTAATGCGGTAGCCGAGGAACTACGACAAAATCCAAGACTAATTTCTAATGTTCAAAGTTCTTTGGAAAGATGATTGCTCAAGTGTGTGTAAATAATAATGGACGGCATTTTGAACAATTACTGTAATAAACTTTATTTTGAATTAATTGGTTTTGCTACGGCAACAGTGCAATTATTTCTATGGGTAAGTTCAATTTCGATTTATTTTACTTCTTTAAATATGGAAACTAGTAGGTCGGAAAAGGGGACTCTTCCCCAATATTTAAATTTTAGAATTTGAAGTTAAAATTGGTGCCAATCGTTTTTGGTCATTACATACTATTCCTCATTTTAATATGTACGTGTATTTCAATAACACCCTGTATATCTACTCGTATATATTTATGTTATGTTCCATACCATAACAAAACGTTAAAATCTACTATTTATTGCAGAAGACGCTCTAAAAATCAGTTGGAACTGCATAACAATATCAGACCTGGAATGCATCCTATGCAGCAGGTGCCTTTTGGACCCCGTTACCACGGGCTGCGGTCACACGTTCTGCAGAGGATGTCTCACCAGGGTTTTAGACCACGGCCTCTCTTGTCCCCTGTGTATGGCCTCCCTGAGCATAGCAGATTATTCCAGGGGATCCACAGATATCCTCCAGGACGCGATACGATTTTTGGTACCACAAGATTACAACGAGAGGATGTCTATCAGTATAAAGGAGAGTTTGATATTGGAGAAGAGTTCTGATGTAAGTGTGAAGCTTAAAAAGCTGTTTTTTGATATATTATAATCATTTATTCCTCATGACAGATTCCTGTATTCATATGTACGAACGCTTTCCCTGGTGTTGCCTGTCCTTTGTACGTTTACGAACCCAGATACCGACTCTTAGCTCGTAGATGTCTCCAATCGCCTAACAAAAGATTCGCAATGGCGGGCAAAGACTCCAGTGGGGAAAAATTCGTCCAGTACGGCACTGTACTAGAAGTAAAAGACGCTGTCAACTTGGAAGACGGCAGATTTATACTCACCACAGCGGGAGTGAGGCGATTCAAAGTGATCAGCAGAAGCGAACAGGTATGGATTATACATGCGATTACAGAGAGGGCTCTAGACCGGTCCTTAAGGCGTACCAAATTTTAATTACTGCTTTTTTTAGGACGGCTACGATACTGCGAAAATAAATTATATCAAAGACAACGACGTTCCTACGGAGAAGATGCAAGAATTGGTCCAAATTCACGAGAGAGTGTACAATAAGGCTTCCAAATGGATAAGGTCGCTCAAGCCGAGGGTGTTGGCTGAGGTGGAGAGGTTGATCGGGAAGATGCCCAAAGTAGAGCGGGATTGGATCAATTTGCCGGACGGTCCTTCGTGGGCCTGGTGGTTGATGCCCATTTTGCCGCTAAGCTCTCAGTTACAAGTGAGTATTTATTTTTTGTCGCAATTGTAATTAAAATTTCTTACTTTTTCTACGGCTTTAAACATATTTAAATTTCCGTTTTTTTTATTCCAGATCGGTTTCCTAAGCACGACCAGTTTGGAAAAACGATTGCGGGCCATCGATAAAATGCTGGAACACATGAAAATCCGCATGAAAGCTCTGGAACGGAACACAGTTAACTGTTCCCAAGAAACCGACCCGTTGGATACGTGCGGTGATCCAGAAAGACCATTCGATTTGCCATATAACAATAATTAATTTATTTCTCCTATTTATTAAGCGAAATTTGTATTTTTTCGTACCGCCAGGACATCCAAGGATCGTTTGAATTTGACCAACGAACGGATTTAAGGAAGAAAAGAATGGGGATTAAAAGAAGGCTTTTATCAAAAATATACATTTCAAAACGTAAAATTATCATTAATCGATTAGAATTTGATTATCTATTTTTTTATTATCTTGTTTTTATTCTTGTAATGGTTTCCATAAATTATCCCCATTTATTTTTTATATGAAACAGGGTGAAAAAAATTGATTTGATGTGAAATTTGATCCAGAAATTACTCAAACAGGTTGTACGTCCCTGATATATGAAAAAATCTTCTTTCATTTAAAAAATAAACAAAAACAAAATATTTATTGAACAATACACTCACATTCTATCGTAATATTCTATGAACATTTTTGAAATTTTTCCGATTTTTGCTAGCACACTGTTTTGGCAAATATTTAAAATCAAAAATCGTCACCGTGATCGATAAAAAAAACATTTATTAAAAATTGATTTGGATTTCTGGTTGAGATTGGCACACATTGTTTCAGTTTACTTAGATTTCTAAAATAAATTAAAGAAGGGGTACCACCTTGAACAATAGTTAACAGAGGCATCCAAAAGTGTTACCACCTTAAAACATTGGTTGATGATCCCGAAGAGAATGCAACCCTTTATGCAGTAGTAGTGATGTCCTGGTAACCTTTACTGTGATATACAATAAGTACTACAAATTATTCTATAAATTTGAAGTATTACCTTTGGCAACATTGACTGTTTTTATTGGCAGATATTGTTACTGCGTGCAGTGTCGCAAATGAACTGTACATATATTTTTTAAATGTTCAAATTATTTTAGTGCTGATTTCTCAGAAATCTAAATCCAAACATAAAATAAATACAATGAGAAATTAAATTTAAAAAAAGAAACTAAAAAACGTCCAGTATTCTCTGAGCTTTCTATTTGTAGTGTATTGTTTTCAGCATTCAAAATACCCAATTTTTCAAAACATACTTTGCCATTTTTTCTCAACTACCTACTACTTATGATGCGAAAAAACCTTAGAGTAAAACTCATTCTCTCCTCCCACCTCCATCTTCCCCCCTTTTCCAATATATCGTACAATCATTTTTATCTAGAACATTTTTGACTATATATACTGTAGTTGGATAGTATTCAGATTCTATTAAGTGACCTACTATTCGAAATTCTGGATTATTTTTAAACGGGTCCGGTCTGAGCATAAATTTAACGCTGTGTTTTCGATAAAAAAATCAAAATAAGAATTTTTGACGCGAGGACCCGCACTAATAGACTCGCTAATAGTGCGGCGGCTTCAGGTACTCTTACGATATTTTTATTTTGATGCAAGCGCCTTTACTAATAAACGCGCTTATAGTGCGGCGGCTTGTATGGGTTTTTATCGAAATTACGGCATGAAAGGTGTATAAATCAATTTATTATTATATTCTAGAAGCTAGAAGCAAAAAAATGGAAAGAACATATTATTTTAGGCTGAATTAATTACTAAACACCAGATGAAACATGATTTGCTCTTGTTTTACTTAGACGTAACTGCAGAAAAAGGCGATCTTAGTTATTGTTAAAGTTGACAACCTTCTCTTTAATAATAACTAGGGTTGCCTTTTTTGCACTTGTTCCTAAAATGTAGCACCAAAGTTTTTCACTATTTTGACATCATTTTTTTCAGTTCATCCTAAAATAGTATGCCCTTCGTTTTTTTGCGGCCGGCTCTGTCTATAAAGAGATCAGGACCGTACCCGAACTTTTGTGATTTAATTAGAATAAAATAATGTATGTGACCAAATATTTATTTATTTTTCTAAGAGATTTTATTTTATTTCTCTTGTAGGCTAGGCTCTTATAAAAAAACTTATAGGTATATTTTTTTATTTTTAATATTTCACTATTTTGAAGATCGATGTGTTTTTTGTCTCGAAATAAAAATCGTGTAGGTCGAAATAGAAAACGTAATTTTCGAGGAATCGTTTTTTTTATTTGGAGAGATTTTGGAAAATTACGTTTTACTTTTCGGCGTTGAATGTTCTTCAAAGATTAGGTTTAATGTATTTGAATTTCATATTTATTTTGTTTCATGTGATACTATTTTAATGCCTAATTTATTATACTATTTGGTTATGAAACATTTTCCAAAATAAACATTTGAAATAAAGAATGTGTTTTGTTTTAATAAATGAAAGAGATGTTTAGAAGTATAAAAAAAAGAAAAAAGCCAGAAGAGCGCAAAAGAAGCATAAAAATAAACTTTATGACAGGAGCTTTAAAGGATTATATCAAAGGTTGTAGAGGGTAACTTATATATAATGTAACTGCAATATCTGCAAAATATAATTATTTCGACGATAAACTGGAGGTTCTACGGTATAACATGTAGCATAAAAGAAACGATTTTATTTTAAACGAAAGACCGAACGACGTTGAATTTTTGGGCCCTTTGTCCCTTAAGCCTACCTGTATATAAATATGTGGGCCTCTATCCCTTAAGTCCGGCCATGTAAAAATATATGGGCCCTTTACTCGTTAAGCCTGCCTATGTACAAATATGTGGGCCTTTATCCCTTAAGTTCGCCCATGTAAAAATATTTAGCCTTTTACTCCTTACGCCTACCTTTTAAAAATATTTGGCCCACTTTCACATAAAACTATTTGGGTCCTTTACTTTTAAGTCTGCACATGTAAAAATATTTGGATAATTTACCTCTTAAACCTGCTCATTTAAAAATATTTCACCCATATAAAATAATATTTGACCCATTTATACCTTGTCTGTCTATGTAAAAAAACTCTTTATCCCTTAAGCCCGCCCTCTGTAAAAATATGTAGGTCCTTTATCTTTTAAGCCTGCCCATATCAAAAGTATTAGGTCCCTTTACCACTTAGCCTGTAAAAATATTATTAAGGTCGTTTACCCCTTTATCCTGCCGATGTAAACACACTTGGACCTTTTCAGTTCTTAAGCCGGCTCATGTAAAAAATTATTTGGGCCCTTTACCTTTTTGATTCTAATAATAAATTCAAATACGAGTTCCATTCTAGAATTTGACTCGTGCAAAAATTATTCTGTACATTATATGCGCGTAAGATCTACATTTACTTCAACTTAAAACAATTATTTTCACTTATCACTTTCGGGTACAAAAATAACCACTCAGATATCCTTTAAAATAATTTTAAAGAACTTTAATTGTTATTTAACGAACAAGTGTATTAATAAGGGCGATTAACAATCGAGATAATTTAACGCGTGAGCAGAGCGAGCGCGTTAATGTTCGAGATTGTTAATCGCCATTTTAATTCACGAGTTCGTTACAGAACTTTCCTGTCGACCGTACTTTTCAAAAATACATAGTTTTTGAATTTTAAGAAATTTAATAATGACATAGTCACATCTTTTTTATTTTAAATGTATATGTATGTTTGGTTGCCTACACCATAGGTAACTGTCTATATAAAGAGCAATGTGCATTGGGTTGCATATAATAAAATCGTTGATTAATAGAAAATTATTCCTTAATAGGGGTCATTAATTAGCGATTTTGAGTGCGTTAAAATACATCATAAATGGTCGGTCGACGGAAAAATCATTTATTTGACGTTTTAGAATGACAGCAATATAGAAAAAGTATGTATTTTTCCAGTAGTTATAAGCATAGCATACTGGTGAACGTACCCATGCCGCAGTACATAAAATAAGCTCCATAAGAATTGCATTCATTTTAAAAGAATTAATATTTATAGCGTTAAGGATAAATCAAAAATCTTGAAAATCAATAAAAAGAAATCAAAATTAAAAAAAGTCTGTTGGCACTTTTGTTTTAGTTATCGTGCCGACGCACATACATACAAATGCACGCACAGAAGACCAGATGACATTGTTTTGCGTTTTCGGACTTATAGTGGCCGGAAACGTAGAGAATAATGTTAAAAAGCGGGGATAGGGATTTTATTTCGTTGGTATAAATGACATACTGAGGCTCCATAGGTATAGAGTCTCATTAATTTCGGTTTTTTTATTCTAATAAGCGTTTTAGGTTATAATTAATTAGATATTCTCTAACTTTTCTAGATTGGCAGTTATTTATATATTATGTATATTATATATACACACTATTGTTAGGCAACACACATTTCAAATAAACGATTTGCACGTTGCCGACATGTGCTAATGATTATAGTACAATATTCAATTTGTAGCACGGAGAAATATACTAATGACCCAGACAGCACACCAAATCCTTTGGATATCTACTGAACATCCCAATATCCACTGAATGTCCAGTCCATGGTGGATATCTATTTTATATCCATGAAATGTAATTTATAGACATGCAAATGTCCATAAATAATTGTAATTATATAGCAAATTATTAAAAAATTACGCCATTGTACTCGCCATTGTGGCTAATAGTACCGTTGAGATATTTAAAATTAATTTTTTTTAAGGTGTATTCAATATCCCATGGACATCCACTATAAATATAAATATATCAAAGTCTAAGCGCGGATGCAAACCATCGTGGATATCTACTAGATGTAATTTTTGATTTTGCTTCCTAAGTATAGATGGCGATACCACTTTCGTATCTACTCATGCTTAACCCGCCGTAATTGAGTTTGATCGACATTGTTTCACAAACAAACTTCATTAGAGACTGAAGTCGAGAAGTTCCATTTATTGCTGAAGATTCCTAATAAGGATGATTTTCTCCTTAGTAGGCAAAATCAAAGGCAGATTGTTGGGAATATTTTTTACCTCTATTTTCTTTCGACGTTATTCAATAACCATTGGTTACTTATGAACCTCTACTAAAAATAATTATAAAATATTTATCTGAATTTCTATATCCTGGGATATAGACGGACATTTGGTTGGATATCCACAAAATATATTCTATGGATATATCTGGTATTTCTTGTATTGTCTGGAGATACTCATTAGATATTTTGCTGAATATCCATAGGATATCTTCTATATTCTGGATATAGACGGACATTTGGATATCCATATTAGTTCCACGGAATATTTCTGATATCCTGTGGATATATTGGATATCCACAAAATATATTCTGTGGATATCTCTGGGACTTGGTGTGTTGTCTGGGGAATTGAGCCTATCCTATTTTTTATTCAGGCTTCTATTGGTTTTGCCCCACAAATTCAGTTCAAATTTTTGGAAATCGGGTAATAAAATAACTTTATGATTTAATGTTACTACAATAAATCTGTAGGATGGCTCACGAACTAGGAGGTGTCTATCAAATTAGGATGTACAATGGGCCTAGTGAGGCCTAAGTGACATGTGGTAAATCACCCTCAACAAGTTACAAATACTGAAATACACAGAACGTTAGTCCTTATGCTTTAAACAATCATACTTTTTCTTCCGTATTACTTTAACAATTAGGTTTAGCACATTTTAGATCCTTTTGAGGATTAGAACGTCCACAGCCCTATTAAGAAGCCAAGTGTTCGTTCTTTTAAGAACATACATTTGACAGCTGCATATGGATATCCACTGAACATCCGTTTATTGACATACACGATACACTTGTGTATCGTGTTGCCAATGCCATATGCCAATAAGACAGCTCAGTGACCGCTGAACTCCATCTGCTGGACTGCCCCACTATCCATAAATAAACCCTTCCCAATCATCCCATACAGCACATACATTATTTTAGTAGTGTTTCAGAAATATTTCAAACGTTTCAAATATATAACATTTCAAGTACAAGTTTCTGAAATATTTCACTGATAATGTTTCTGAAACATAGTATAAATGTTACACAAAAGGGTATTAAACGGGTTATGTTGTAGAGGCCAATACAAAATGAAGAATTTCTGATTTGTAAGAAGAAGTAAGATTAATCTTAAGAACTAATTATTTTATTTTATCCTATGTCCAGCCCACTGAAAAGGTGGTACAGCCACAGACAATCCTATATTCTTTAGAAATTGAGGTGAGTTTATAGTTTACTACAGACATAATGCCTGTTTAGGTTAGGTTTATTTACTTTATCTCATTATTAAGACGAGTGACGCCATTTCATTTATCAATTTTTTTTCTTATTTTTATCTAAATATAACCCACATAGTGTATGGCGAGTTGCGGTTGTATATTGGAAATGTAGTGATGTCAGCAGCTCTGACCTTTGATCTATAAGCCCAGACATTCAAAAATGCATATAGAATGATTTTTGTGCTGTAAGGGTTTCACATGACGTATAACAAGAATAGGCTTGTAGGGATGCGCATTTTTTTAAAAACATCAATGTTGACATCAAATAATACATCGAATGCAGACTATCGATATTGGAAAAAAATCTGAAAAGAAAATATCGATTTTTTTAAATATAGATGTTTGTTTTTCCATACATCGATGTGTCTGTAAACCACATACTTTGATTTTCTTTTACTATACGGAGAATGGTCGCACTGCGCAGCTTTCTGAGTGCCTTTTAAAAGTTCCAAAATAACATCCACTTCAGGGATACAAATTCAGGGTACGCAGAAGACTGCTGTTTTATCATAGGCGGTTGTCATATATTGTATTATCCGAGTTGCGCAGTGTATAAACTGGAACATTGAGATCAAAAGTGCCGACGCAGAGTGAGCGATCTGATTCTTTAGCTATAAACTGTGGCATAGGAATCAAAATGGCCGCGCCCTATATTGGGCGTGTCGGACCTCTCTCTTGCATCGTATAGTAAAAAAAATTAAAGTATGTGGTAAACACTGATGTTTACCAAAAACGTTAATTGAAGAGCAAAAAAAAGGAATTCAAACCATCAATTGAAACGTGACGCTTAACAAAAAACCAACAAACATTGAAAAGAAAATTATCGATATTAACAAATAATATATATATATTAATATTTCCAATATTTTTTTTTATCTAAAATGTCCCAACAATTTGGCTTCTGCACTATCAAATATCAAAACGCTTATTCCGAATTGGATATATAATTACCAAAATTACTTTTATATTCTTCATGCACAAGATACTTTGAATCATTCCCTATTTTAAAGGAGGTATGATACATATTAGAAAAACTAGGAAGTCACAATTTAAAGACCGGGTTTATCATTTAGTTTTCTGGAATTTATTAAATGTTATTAAATATTTTTACTTTATTCTCAACAAAGTTTTGTTAGACATAATACCCTTCGGAGGCGGTTTTATAAACGTAACCGACGACGTCTTTTTAACCGTAACCGACGGCGTCTTTCTAACCATCGATGCAGGAACAACTTTAGCAGGATGTCTCGGAATAGGTGGTGTAGCGATAGCAGTTTGACTTTTAGTGGCCTTCGCAGCTGCTACTCTTCTAACGAAGGCTATTCTCTTCTTCAAGGCTCCTTTCCAACCGTAATCTATAGCGCTTAATTTTTCTTCTGAAGATGGACGTCTTCCTAAGATTTTTTTGAACATTTCTTCCCATACCGCTTCTGTATTACATAACTGAAAAAAAAATAATGTAATATTAAAATAATAGCTATCTATGCAACCAGTTGCCTCATTATATGTAATTAGTGACGAAAAGTGTTTTCTTCGGACTCCTAAGAGTTGCCAGTACTCGAGCCTGGAATAGAACTCTATGCTTCGTAGAATTCTACAAAACGACATTGAAATTTCTGTTATTTTAAAATTTTTTAAACTGTTTGTAATCGTCCCCATGTGTTTTTTAATGTGTTTAAATTTTGACTGCACCCGAAAATGGAAACAAAGTTTTCCGAAACATACGTAGTGCTGTGCTAACGATATAAAATAAAATTAATGACCGAATAAGCCAAGGAAATTTTTATTTATATAAAATTCTGCTACGGTCAGGAAATTATCCTTATGAAAATAATCGAGTTCTTTTGTAGAAAACGATAAGTAGATTTCTACATGACACAGAGTACCACTCCCTGGCAAGCTTCTCATAGTTGCCAAAAAACTCAACTGTTCATCCTTGTAACATAAACTACTATTTTCTAATTTTGACTAAATTATTTATAAATTGAGTTTTGGTAAAAAATTACTAACATCTAGGCAACCCAATATTACTTTCTTGTATTGTAAGTTGCATATGCATAACTTATACTGTGTTTATATTGCTGGTTAAAGTTATTTAGTTTTCAATAAAGTGGGTTGTTTTGTTGTGTATTGTGTTTTAATTATTTTTTTCCGATTTAGAATGGTAAACAAGGAACAAAACAACATTATTTCTGAGTTGTAAGTTTAAATTCTATTTATATAAGTCAATCTGTCCTTCTTTGATAAAACTTTTAATAGTAATGTATTGATTTTAAAACCAAAAAAAAGTTTATTTTTATTTGTTTTATTTTTGTAACTGGCGACATAATGAATTTTTCGTAACTAGTTTCATAATGTTCAATATTATGCAACTGGTTGCGTAAAGTAGATCATTTTAACATTTGCTGCGATTACAAATATCACTTTAAATGTCAAAATTAGAAAAATAATATAATATAAGGCATGGTATGTCTCATTCTAATTTGAAAATAGTTCAAAGAAGGTTCTTTAAAGTTAAAATTCAAAAAGACGTCTAATAATCTTTATGTATTTTTGAATGACGTACTTCATAGAAAATTTTATTCGTTCTACCCAATCTCAGCACATCATTGATCGACAGATACTTGATGACGTTCATGAAGGCCTTTTGCGGCAGATTTTCCAGTTTTCTTTGGCGATTGGACAAATTCACGATATATTCGTGAACGGTTTCTCCGAAAGACGTCCGTATCTCTTCCTGTACGTGCTTGTCGTATTTGAAATCTTCGACGTCCATGATTTTTTGCCTCGGGAAATAGTGGGGACCGCGGGTCACTTTCCACACGTTGAAGCATATCTGAAAAATTACAATAAAACATTTTTAACACGTTGATATACACTGCGCCGCTAGTGTCATAATGTGTTGTGACCACATACTTCGATTTTCTCTTACTATACGGAGAATTGTCGCACTGCGCAGCTTTCTGAGTGCCTTTTAAAAGGAGATAGAAAACTCCGCCATTTTGAACACTTATTACGTGTTGCCTACATCTTGGCGCAATAGTTTTAGTTGTTATGTTATAATATTTACCCAAAGTCAGTCCCCAAAGATATTATTTACAAACCTACACTTTACAAAACCATTAACAAATAATGCATGTCTTGAAGACCTTGCTTTACTTGGTGATTTTATATTAAATATTTCGATTTGTAAGTAACAGTAACTACTTTATTTCAAGATGCACTCGCAATTATAACTTTACTTCAAAGAAGTTTCTTGTATATTAAAATAAATAAACGTTTCTTCTACATTTGTTGCCTTCATTTAAAATCTCAAAATACCAAGATATAGGCTACCAGTTTACAATTTGGAAAAATGTGTTGCCTAACCTAGTAGTAATTGCATCAAAATGGCCGCGACCTATGTTGGGCGTGTCAGACGTCTCTCTTGCACCATATAGTAATCAAAGTATGTGATGTACTGTCAAGAGTGAGCAACCTTCATATTTATACAATATCTGGCACAAATATGTACAAAAACGGAAACTTCTTTGATTTCCAGTTTCTAAGAAAATTTTATTCTTTATAAAAGTTCGTGTATGGCTCTAAATCGAAAATACACTTGCCAAAATTAAAATATTTCCTTTCGTAATGGAGAAGACTAAATAAATATCACAATTGCTACAATAAAAGTGTTTATATATTTTTTGACTTTAAATTATCCGCTCTCACATTGCTTTACGTGCACTTCGTTTATATATATTATATTATGATAATTATTTCTATGTTTGTTTATAAATAAATCTAAATAAAGCATTAGAATTAATTCGTAATAATTACTTGAATTACTCAATCTTCCAAAGAAAAAAAAAACTGAAGAGTAATAGGTTACACTAAGAAAAAATCGCGATAAAACTTACACAAGATTCCGCAATAGTTAGACCGTAGTAATCTCTATTTGGCGCCCCTGCTCTTGCATACAGTTGAAGCAAAGAAGCATTTTTCAAAATCTGAGATTTGCTGTTCATTTCTGATAACAAAATATTTAAGTCAAACTGACTTTCATTCATAAATTTAATGGTTAGAATTATGCACTCCGTGCCGGCCACATACTTTGATTACTATACGGTGCAAGAGAGAGGTCCGACACGCCCAACATAGGGCGCGGCCATTTTGATTCCTATGCCACAGTTTATAGCTAAAGAATCAGATCGCTCACTCTGCGTCGGCACTTTTGATCTCAATGTTCCAGTTTATACACTGTGCAACTTGAATAATACAATATATGACAACCGCCTATAATAAAAGAGCAGTCTTCTGCGTATCCTGAATTTGTATCCCTGGAGTGGATGTTATTTTGGAACTTTCAACTGGTTCGAGTGAGCTAACTGATTCTTTAGCAATGAACTGTGACTCCAAAAACAATATTCAGTGACATTAACAGCAGCAAACAAAATATTCTTGCTTACGCCAAAAATGGAGGCTCTAAAGGGCTCAAATGAGACAAAGAGGAACTTAAGGGATTAGAGCAGGATTGGACTGGTCGAAAATGACTCAAATAATAGTATACAAAACCATTTATTTTTCAAAATTCTTTTTTAATAAATTTGTTTATATCTCACACTTTACAACATACAGGGTATAGATACAGACACTTTCTAACGATAAATAAAAATTAGAAAATAATGAGTGATCGGTGTAACTGAAAAACACAACTTTCCACAATGACATCACTTTTGGGTACTTACATAACTTTTAAAAAACAAAATGAGACACAACACGCTCTTATTGAATCATCTTTTTTTATCCTAAATACCTACAATAACAATATATCTTGCAGAACAAAGATGAGAAACGATGCGGTATTATTGAATCATCTTTTTTATCCAAAATATCCAAAAGTAATTTGACGCAAAAATGTTAATGTTTGCATCATTAATTTAGTTTCACATTTGCATTTGATCACCATTCTGTATATATAAATCAAATTTATATATTAGTAATTTATGCATGTTTAATGCTGATACTGATAATAAAATAATTAATTATTATTCTGTTTTTTAATAACGCTGTATAACCTGATTAATTACGGTAAATATTTAAGTATAGTATTTAAAATAAATTAAAGTAGGACTACGATGATGGGTCCTGTCTAATATTTATTGTTTACTTACACTCTACCATAAATAATCAATGTTATAACGGCGCTACGTTAGCTGGTGATACTAATCTTTTAGCAATAGAAGCAAATGCAGATAAAACTATTCAAAAGTTACCAGACGCCACCAACGAATTCAGCAGAGTTACCAAACAGTGAAGATAAAATTAAACGAACTAAAATCTCTAATTGTAAATTTTACAAATAAAATTATAAATACTAAAGTATTTTTTATTGACCGCATTATTTATACAATCTGTCGGTATTAAATAACTTAAAAATGCTAAAAAAGTTGAAATTTTTAATAGTTTGGATGCAAGAGATATTAACTTTTTTTAATTTCAAACCAATAATTATTGACTTCACACTAGGTATGACAGTTTATTGAAACCACTTCACCGATGATAATCACTCGAAATCAAAAGACTAAAAATAGGAATCACTTATTCTCTTGATATAGGGTAATTGTATAGTAGATGAAAACAGCAGAACATTGGAATAAAGTGGCAAAGAACAAGATCACCAGACGATAAAAACATACAAAAAAAAGCCCACTGCTCACTAATTAGAACTGCAAATTGTAGCTGGACCAAGTCCAATTAAAAAAAAAATCACTTGGAACAAACGTTTCAACTAAACGAAAATCATACCTACCTTACATATTGTCGTCTGAAAGTGAAGATCAATCAAACAATACCGAAAGAAATAGCAAATGAAATTAAGAACAACATAAAAAAAATATGATTTGTCCGGCACATGACTTCATTGTCTAGTTATTACAGGCTTTTTGCGGTTATTTTTTACAACCTATTGTATCACTCTTGACTCTTGTACATTTTTAGAGAATAAACTAAATAAATAAACGAAGGAATTATTAAGGAAAATTAAAAATCCAAATATTAGTAAACATCACTATAATCGTATAAATATTGAATGCAAAAACACAAGTAATGATGTAACGAGTAGCCAGTAATTCTGCTCAGAGAAATCGACCATATTGAGTGTACTTTTCAGAATGATCCTGTGAAAAACCAACATAATGCCGACAAAAAGCCGGGGTATTCACGCATCGTCATCAATACTTGCTTATCTCCCTGACCAGAGGCGACTCTAGGTAAAATTGCTAACAATATATACATTTTCCACATACATCTTACTCGAAACATTTCTTTATATACAGGATGTTTAATTGGAAAAGGGAAGCATTTTAAACCTATATGGAGGTCAATCAGTTTCTCCCTCAGAGTCTTTTGATGTAGCTGAAGGGCTTGCTGCATTTCCACATCTTGGAGTCTACCAATGAATGCCTGTATGCCTCGAATTCTTGTAGACTTTCATTATGTATTTGACTACGAACCTTTAATTGGTTTTGGAATACCCGCTTCAAAAGCGGCTGGCCATACCTTGCCTCTAAGGCTTGGACGAGAGACGAATAAATTGGTTCCTCTTGAGGGAGTAAAACGGTTGCTGCCTGTCCTCGCAGCGAAACTCTTTTTCAGCCCAGCCATTGGCTCTAGCTGCAGCTTCGAATTGGAGTCGATACGTTAGCTATGTTCATGTTGTCTGAGCATCAAATGTGGGTGGCTTAATGATCTTGCTAGTATGACTTTGTGAAACAGGTTTGTCTGTCAGCGGGCTGTATCTCCTGATCCGTAATAGGTAGACAGTTAAAATTTTTACAGAATGTGTATTACTATTGCCACTATAACATTAATGTTTACCGATCTACGCGGGCAGGGTCTAAACACGACTGAATGCGCATGCTTAGATTTACCAAAACGAGCTGTTTGTTGGAGCCAAAAGTAATTTATGTTATTTGCAATGAACTACGTTTTTCCGCTGAAAAGAGGACACGTCGAATGATGTATCACATAACAGGGTTTTTATGACACGAAGAGGAGGAAATCAAAAAAGCTGCTTAACATTAATTTTTTTTTAAACAAGTAGAAAAAGGTTGTTACTATTGAACGTTTTACTAGACAACGCGCAATTTGATATTTCTATACGGAACGCCTAGGTTTTTTCAAGTGCCCCTCGTAACAAAACCCAAAATCCAAAAAAGTGGTTCATATCTTTTTATCGACACAAGCGCGAATTTTGCTGATTGTTAATAATTAATTAACTTTTTTTCCGTATCTAAGAATCTAGTTTTGTATAATAAAACAATAACATAGATTATGATGTTACAAACAATGATTGTTTCGTAAGCCAAAAATAAAGTTATTTTTCGATTATCTCTGTAACTGGGGAAACCAATAACACGCCGAGATATTTAAAGAAAGATCGCGTGGATCTTCCAAACAGTTCGACAACAAGTTTCGCGAAGAACTTGTGAATATATAATTTTTTTATTAAGCAAATAAGGTACCAAAATGATGTCAGCACCGACTAATATCGTTTATAATGTCAAAAAGTTGGATCAAGTGCCTCAAGGAAGTCCACCGGATATTGTAAGTTTTTTTACTTTTTTTTTCTTTCGCCATTATACTTTATAAAAATTACGATTTTGACGAATTTTAATGGCTTATAAATCTATCAACATAAACGATTGTATTTAACATTTCTTTACATTTTTTATAAACACCTTTGTGACAAAATGTCCATTTTTTTAGAAATTAAATTTACCAAATTAAATTATATATCGGGTGTCCTGTTAAAAAAACATTTGTGTTCATCACTCTGTAGTTTCTGAAACACAAGTGCCGATTCTTCATAAACTTGTAAATAACTGGCAACTATGTCAAATCGGCTTACGTTAATCATGTCAATCAATGTAAGGTTGTTGATTTTTTGATTATTCAATTTTTTGTTATGCATATTATAAAACATTTTAATTATTATGTTTTGACTTGGTTTTATTCTTTCATTTATTATGTGATATGTGATATTTTTGTCAAACAGGCAAGTTATTTTGTAGTTACTTATTCTCAGTGTAGAAATAAACTGCATACACGTAAATTGCGACATCAAACAAATAGACCAAGCTTTCGCTATTGTATTATCATATTTATTATTGGGGCACGATTTTCAGAATTATTAATAACTTAATATATTTCTTTACAATAATCTAGGGAAAAAGTGATATTATAAGATGTTTACGCTTCAACTAATCAGAATACGAGTAAAGATCCGCATTTTTAACTTAAAAACAACTGAAATCTAAATGGTTTAACGACAGTTAATAAGTTGAACAAAAATACCCAATAATCAGGTTAAATCCCAGTCGTTGGCAACACTGTTGACATGGATGCACGTGCGAACCTAGTGGATTTTTACTCGCAACCCGGATCAATCTTTAAAAACCCCGTATGTTCAAAATGTTCTGTCTCTAAAACTTTTTTAGCTGTCATGAGTTGTTAAAAAATGAATGTATCAGAATGTACCTTCAACCAGAGCCTAAAAGAACTTTAATTGCCCTCCACTAGATAAGATAACACCTCTTCATTTTCTCACCACTTTTGATGGTCGTTCAAACTCCTTTAGACTCTTCTTGAAGATCATTCTTGATACTTCCGCAACTTTCTTATTTCTTGCAAGTATCTAGAAATTTCTTCAACATTTCTAACATACTACACTTGATGTCTGTAGAGGCTTCTATTATAGATTGGAAGTGAGGGTGAGACTAAGCAAAATTAAAGCTGAAGTATCGAATAGCTATTTGTGTTTCGAAGTTTTTTAATATTAAATATTTAAAATCATCATCTAAATATTCTAAATCTCCTAAAATTGCCATTTCGAATGCCTCTTCGATATTATTTACTATTATAGACAACAACATAGATGAACTATGATTTAAAGTTTTTAAAATGGGTTAGAACTATGTATAAGAGCAAGAACTCTATTGTTAAAACTTCAGGTTTGCAATAACTTTTATTTTAGCATGGACTTTATTTACCTCTAAATACGTTGCTACTGTTAGTGGCTGACGTTATAAAAATTTGCAATATCTCTTACTACCAAATTCAAATTTTATTACATGGTTTATTTGACAGGCACCGCTAATTTGAGCAGCGAAGCGCGTGTTATGTGTATATTGTGTTGCCTACTTACAAGCAGATTGAAAGCTTAATTTATAATTAGGGTGAATAATATTTGTTTATGTACTTCTCAAAAAGTTATGACAGTAGTTTTAAAAAGCCGACTTCAAAATCATGCAGATGACCTGAAAAATTGATTTTTTTTATTTTCTCATAGATCATCAGACACAAACCAATTGTATATGTAATTAATCCTGAAGTTTTCCCATTCTAACAAAAACAGAATCATAGAAATCGGAAAACGTGGTAAAGAATCATTGCTAAAAATAAACTAAAATAATTAAGAGATTGACGATTATTTTCTCATGGACCCTATTCATTAATCTTGACCAAATTTATACGGGACCACCCCTTAGGTACCCTCTTTTTAACAAAAAAATAATCATAGAAATCGAAATAAGTAATAAAGAATTATCGCTGAACATACATAAAAAAATATTCCGACAAATTGAGAATGTCCTCCTTTCTTGAAGTCGGTTAAAACTACTTTCAAGATCCTATTTTTTTACGAAGAAAAAGTCAATTTATATTAGGATTAGTAAACTAACGCGTTGATTTCTGAGCCAACGAGATATCTCAAGTTTACAGGTTAAAAACGTTGGTAATTTATTTTTAATATTTCAAATATTGTTAAATTATTATGGAAAAAATTTTATGTACAACTAAAATATTCAGATTTGTTTACATTTTGTTTTAAAATACTTTTTATTAAATGCACCTTGTACAGAGGCATTTACGATTATTAGAATCTATAGTGGGATTCCCATCTTTCAATATAGCATTCGTCAATGTAAATCGCAAAATGCGTAACTCCACTTAGTTCTGAAATACAGATTAAGTATAACTCGATATAGTACCAAAATGGCAGATTTACCATCTGAAAAATGCTCATTTTATTATCCATCCAAATTACATTATTTCTCATAAAAACAAGTTCAGTTTAAATAAGTTCTAGGGTTTTAATGAAAGTTAGTTTTTTGGCTCTCCTAAAGTAACATTTTCGATTTGCGATTTACACTGAGATATGTCGAGACGTCTATCTTAGTTCGACAGACTGCAATTCTTATGTAATGGCTCTCTTGGTTCTCTTGAGTCTTCTCATTTTATTGGCATTGTTGAGGAAGTTCCCAAGTTCCCATGTTGAAGCAATCGTTGTTGGTGACTACTGGCAAATATTCTATTGTATTTTTAAAGGTCTCCACTTTAAGGTCCCTACGAAGATCAGTATTGAGACAGTACTAGTGTGCATCGACGATGTTCCTTAATACTTTATTCTGGAAACATTGAGTAACTTATATGGATAACATACGTCCATAAGGGTTTCAATATCTGCATGTAAAGAAGCAATTTGTTATATGTGGATAAATTGGATTTTTTTTAGCAACCAACACATTCTTTTGTATTTTATACCAATCTCTTCGCATTTCTTTTTAATATGGACTTTCCACTGAAGTCTAGCATCAAAAGAGTTTGCTGTATTGGCAAAATGAATCTGAGTGTCGTTTATTATATTCTAATAGGAAAATATTATTTTTGTTTGTTGCTGAAGTTGAAGTGGCCTTCATTCAATTTAACCTATTTTGGATAGTTTATAATAATTTTCTATTTCTACTCTGTTTCCCTCTGTATATAATTAAATAACGACATGACGAAGCTTATAGCCAGAGTAGTAGTTGTTTTCTGGAAGAAAGCGGTACTCGTACTATTTTGTGAAACATAATTTTGAGTTAAATTTCTTTCTTTACCTCTTGATTACATTTAAGTTTTGAACTACTTTACTTACTTGTCAATTACTCAGAAAAACTCAAACAAGGTCAAGTTTGGGTAATAAAGTAAGGTCGACCTTCCCTTCACCCATCTATTTAATGGATGACAGTTCCTTTTTTTAAATCAAATATGTTTATAAATATACTGCAAATGGGTTACTTAAGAAAATACGGTGCAGACTTATTTATTTTCCTAAAAAAATACCTTGTAAAGTATTCCCCATTTATTTAAAAACATATTTTATTCAATAAAAAAAAAACTTTTATCTATTAAACAGATGGGTGAAGGTCGACCTTACTTACGGATCCTGGATTATCAAAAATCCGTTGTTGGCGTATTGAGAAAACAGGAAAATACCGACACACTTGAAGTTCAAATCAATCGTTCAAAAACACGGTTCACAAGGTGAAATACGTAAATATATTTCCAATAAGATATTATTATTAGATTAATTAAAGCTTGGACAACAATATTGCATTCTTTGTTATTTAAATATTTAAATGGAGCATTGGATTAAGCAATTTTGATAACTGTTATCGTAATCATTTGGTAATTAGGAAGTAATAAGTTAGAAAATCACGTAGTCCGATCGTATGTTCAAGAAGATTTTGGATTGGTCAAAATAAAAGATTAGAAGAGCCAATTTGCTAATTAGCAAATCCTATCGTTAGATATTTTGCAAGGGTTTTGGACACAGTTTTCATAATCGCTAAAATTTAGTTTCTTAAATACCCTTTAAAATAATTATTATATTAAATTGTACAAAATTATTATTTTGCTTTGGTCAAAGTTTAAAGATAAATTTCTATGTAAAAAATCAATGTTTTCATCAAGGATAATATTGATATCGTCATTTTAATAAACAAGGAAATCATCAATATCGTTATAAAAATTGTTTTAGATTTTTTCAATTAATAAAGATCGAGATAAAGCATTCCTTGTGCATTCAAGGATTTCTAGTTTAAATTAGATTAATTTAATAATAATTACAAATTATAATATGTAAATCATATTTGAAGACATTTATACTTTTAAATACTCGGAGTAATGTTGATTTTAAAATAAACTAAAAAAAGTAAGAGATAACATAGAAAGAGGGAAAAGTTACAAAAGATTATCGTCAATACATCAATATCATCAATACAAGTACAGTTCAAATTGTTTAAAAAATAGATCCTTTCAAAATAAAGAAATAATAAATTTGTTTATCATTGTTTTTCATCCTCTATCTGCATACTGATTTTAGAATTATATTCATATTATATTTCCCCAAATATGTGAATTCATCGGTTTTATGTAATTATCGGAATTGCCTGAAAATGTCTTCTTCGAGTCACTTGTTAATATGTTTCGAGAATTAAAATCCTATCTCACAGTCGATCCAAATTTTCCTAAAAAAATTGGGAATTCCAATCGGTCAGCGGTACGCACCATTGTTGTACTTTTATCTGATGTAACTTTATAGGAAAATTGCATTCAATTATAGTTTTAACACTGCTCTGTAATTATAAAAAGGCAAAAAACCAGAAAAAAATTGCAATCATTTACTAACCACGTTCGTGTATAAAAGAAAGAGTAGATCAATCAGTTTCATACTGTTGTATAGTTTTTCAAGATACACTTTTTTTTAATTGTGAAATGAAGACAATCATCGATGGTGTACCTGTTGACGTAATACTAGACGTATGTTATTTATTATCAACAATTAAAAAACTAGTTTTAAATTGATAATTTAAACCAGTTCTGTACATTAACTATTAAATTATTTACATATATTTCGCTAGGAATTTATATAAATCTGTGTTTTTAAACTATTTAAAGTAACATTTAATGGTTTTCTTTGGAGTTTTTGACCTTCTTTGATCTTTATTAGTTTGTATTAATTTGTATTATTTTTTCTGCGCCACTACTATGACTCCACTTTTTGGTATATTGCAAGTAAAATTGATATATTTTACACTTTTGGTACCATTTTATAACCACAATTGACCTTAGTTTAAGCACCTTCCTTGGTAGTAACTGTATGATACATATTAGACCTTATAACTCTGTTATTGTAATTTTTTTCTTTGTAGCCTAAACTGATGCCGGGTGGCAACTACATCAGAATTGGAAAGGACTCAGCACACAGCACTTGCATCTTGTTCGCACCACCTGCTGAAGAAGTCGGAATTTTGGCGAAATTTTTGGCAATTTTCAAGAAACACGCAATCAATTTGCTGCACATTGAATCCAGACCATCTGCAAAATCTCCAGACAACTGTGAATTCATGGTGGAATGTGCCGCGTCTCAGAATTTGGGAGCAGCTATTCACGAGTTGAAGGCTATCAGTGAATATTTACAAATTATTTCTAGGGATTACAAAGATAATAAAGGTGAGAAAAATATTTGTAAATTATAGTTATCTGAATAAATAAAATTCCTATAAGTACCAAATTTTAATTTGAAATGTTTTTTAGATTCCGTTCCTTGGTTTCCGAGACGTATAAGAGACTTGGACCGCTTTGCTAACCAAATTTTATCGTACGGAGCAGAATTAGATGCTGATCATCCAGGATTTACAGATCCTGAATACAGAGCGCGTAGAAAATACTTTGCCGACATTGCCTTCAATTACAAGTAAGTCAGGTTTATTTACGTACACAAAATGGTTTAGCTCCTGAACTATAAGAACATAATTTAATACACTTTTATAACTACAATGTCTTAGCTCCTGACCTAAGAAAATAAGATGCTGGGATTATAGTTTAGAAACTTATTTACGTTACATATTTTGGTAAGAATATTATTATTTATCTTTGATTTGTTTTTCAGACATGGTCAAAAATTACCGCACGTAGATTATTCAGAAGAAGAGACTGAAACATGGGGTAAAGTTTTCAGACAGCTTACCACTTTGTATCCAAGTCATGCCTGCAAGGAACACAATTACGTATTTCCCCTTTTGGTTGAAAACTGTGGTTACAGGGAGGATAATATACCTCAGTTAGAAGACATTTCCAATTTCCTTAAAGGTACGTAATTATTAATTCAGAAAATACAAATGTTTTAAGTCAAACTTTGCCATCAGAATATTCATTATCAATTTTATTTTTACAGATTGTACTGGATTTAGTGTTAGACCTGTAGCAGGACTTCTCTCGTCCAGAGACTTTTTGGCCGGTCTGGCGTTTAGGGTGTTCCATTCCACCCAATACATCAGACATCCAAGCAAACCTTTTTACACACCAGAACCAGATGTTTGTCACGAATTATTAGGACACGTACCACTATTTGCTGATCCCGATTTTGCCCAGTTTTCGCAAGAAATCGGTTTGGCATCACTTGGAGCACCCGATGAATTTATAGAAAAGTTGGCTACTGTAAGTAATTTAGATGATTGTCACAAATTCGTAATTAATAATTATTAGAATAGAAAAACTAGAAATATGGAGACAATAAAAGGGACATAAATAACTTTTATGTGACATCTGTTGTCTTCTGGAGAATTTGCACGATATTAGGAAATGGAATAGAGCAAGAAAATATCTGGTATTTATAGAGATCTTGCGAGACTAAGCCAGGCCAAAACCCTTACCTAATATTACTGAGTTAAAGGGGTGGCGATTCTGTTTAGATTATAATATAGATTAGAATGTAGATGTATAAAAACGTGCCATAAAAGTTACTTAAATATTTAGATAAATACTTGCTTTAAGCCACATTTTTTTTAATGAAATAAGCATAAATCGTTAGCGTAATAAACTATATCTATTATTGCGATATTTTCGATAATATCAAAATAAACACATCAAGCCAAGTAGATGAATGAAAAAATAACTACGATAATAGTTGTCATGACGTCTTTATCACTATTCATTGAACTGGTGAACTTTAAGAAACATTATTTCGTTTTTAATATTTATTGTTTAGCAATGCTTTATCGGCTTTTTTTTTCAACAGCACAAGATATTCAATTGTTTTCGTATTTTGCCATGTAAAAATAAAATTTAGAAATAAAAGCGTGTCACAATGTTTTAGAAATAAACACGATAAGTGTCACGCCATATTTAAGTAACAGTATCACTACTGTAGTATAAATAATAAATTTAGCCTTATTCACCTTGTACATATATTTGGTTACCAACAAATGCCCTATATTAAGCTATATTAAGGATGAATCAATCTCTGTGTCTTAAATAATAGTTTTTACAATGTCACTACATTTTCCTCTATCCTGCACTTGTTAATTATTTACCCTTAACCTGCATATTTCTTCTTTCACTACCTTGAGCCTTACCATACTGATCTGAACCCTCCAAGTCTGCTTCTTCCTTCTGGCTTCCATTGTAACATTAAATGAACCATTTCCTGCTGCTCTCTAAACTTTTTCTAACTGAGGATTTATTTATTTTTGTTGTTTTATTTTAGTTCTTGTTAATTTCATTTGCTTTAATTCTGTGATTTTAGTTTTAAATGACGAATAATTGAATAGAAATAGTTTGTCAACATAATGTAGGTAATACAAGTTTCATTAATTTAACCAACATTAATTTATACATACTTTTATACATATCCATATTTATTTTCTAAGAAAAAAACAATTTTAAGTAGAAAAAAAATAAATACGACATTAAAAGAGATATATATGTTACGGGCAGTATTGTAAATTGGGCACTGACGATATTGACGGGACACTAATGTCAGCAGAATGCCCAATCAAATAGGAGATTTACGAAAATGACCGGCCAATATCGTAAAAGACCAAAATATCATCTTTGACCGTAACATATATATAATCCTGATTTCCAGCTAGTTACAAACATATCTCTGTGCTAAAACTAATATTATCTTTGTCTTAAATTAAAATCTGAAATATTATTCTGAAATTTTTATATTTATTATTAATTTTTTTATTTGTTACAGTGTTTCTGGTTTACCGTCGAATTCGGATTGTGTAGAGAAAATGGTGATCTCAAAGCATACGGTGCAGGTCTTTTGTCCAGTTTTGGAGAACTGCAGTACGCTCTAGAGGGTACACCTGAAATTAGACCCTTCGAACCATCGAAAACGGCTTTACAAAAATATCCAATCACCGAGTACCAACCAATATATTATGTTGCTGAGAGCTTCGAAGATGCCAAAGAAAAAATGATGTAAGTAAACGAACAATTTTATGTTAAAAATTCCTGGACTATATGGGTTGAATAATATTTTTCATAGTACAGGAAAAATTTATAGTTTTTTTTATGCATACAATTTTACAATTTTAATATTTTTATTACAGAAAATATGCCGCTACTATCCCAAGAAAGTTCGGTGTTAGATACAACGCCTACACTCAAAGTATCGAAGTTTTGGATTCGAAACCTCAAATACAGAGATTGGTCAATAATATCTCGTCAGAAATGTCAGTATTGATAGATTCTCTAAGAAAAATGTAATTTGTATCATCTACCTACTTACCTGTTGCTAGTTTTAAGGATTATTTATTTTTTTAATTAAGCGAACTCGTCCAGTTTTTATACTCTGTACTTTTAAGTTTTTTTATATGTAACTGTAACTTTTAAGCGAATAAGAATGTGATATATCTTTAATAAAATTGATATTAAAATTATGCTGAATTTCATCGTTCAATTCATTTAAAAAACATTTTTTGGACCGTTATAAAATTTGTGCATATTTTATTGCTATATCAATAGACACTTTTGGAAATTTCAGGTTGTAAAAGATAAGAGAAATTGATTTTTGATGTCAACTTGAAAAATAATTAATAAATGTGAAATTTTCTGAATTAGTGTTTAAACTTTTATTTTGTTCAATTCGGGGCACAATATTGCCAATCCATTTACTAACTTTCAACTACCCTGCATAACATTTTGAAAGTTTTTATAAAATCTCATCAAAAATACTCCATAAAGTTGAACATTGGACAAAAATCAATTCAAGACAAGTTACTTCTACTAATCGCAAGGGACGTTGTCCACCACATACATTCAATGATGAAGAACTACCAGCTGAATTTAAGTACTTAGGCATGCAGCTAGAAAAACACCTAACTTGGAAAAAGCGCATTTGTTCACGAAACAGAAGCAGCTGAGCCTAAAAATTAGAAAAGTAAACTGACTAATTGGCAAAAAATCTCAACTGACTATCTACAACAAACTTAATTAACAAAACCATCCTGAATCCCATATACTGGGAGCATCTGCAGCAAACCTTATATCGAAATATTGGAAAGGTTTCAGTCCAAGGTTATCAGCGTCACATGGTTTATACCAAACTACATCATTACTCTGATCTATAGATATCGAAATCGGAAATAATAAACTTCTGTGCGTACAGTTCTTCTCTTTAAGTATCAGTTTAAATTTAATTTATAGCCGCGCATAGTTTTTATCCATACATGGCTCGTGTCACTGTCTTTGTCATATCTTTTATCTTTATCGGTTAAGCAGATATGGTTAGATTTGGCCCAGAATACAGCGGCCTCTTGGGTTTATTGTAGTTTTCTGCTTTCCCCGTACTCACGTACTATCTTTGAAATAATCTTGAGGCCTTGAGAACTGTAGTACCTCAGCCGCCATGCGTGTATTAGGTCCCTTTAGCATGAGCTTACTGATTCTGTGCTGCCAGTGAATTTGGTATTTTGTGGTTATCCACCTGTTCACTACCTGTCGAACAGAGGTTTTGCTTATCCAAAATACAAGTTCAGGTCCTGTGATAGGTAGTTGTAATCCCTCTTTGGCGAGTTTGTCGACATTTTCATTTTCTTGGGTACCTTTATGTCCTAATATTCTGCTAGTTTTACCTTATTGTGGGATGTCAGACCATTTGGTATTTCAAGGCAGTGCCAAACCAGCTTTGACTTGATTCTGTTTGAATTAAGGGCCTTGAAGGTGCTTGGCTGTCTGAGAGAATTAAGATGGTTTGTTTTTGTACTTTCTTCTTAAATTTTCTCGTACACACAATTCAATTTTTTGACTTGAAATACAGTGGTATGTTTTCCCAGTGAGACAGTGATGTCGCAATTTTGGTTTAACTCCATGTACGTTAATCATACAAGACCTCTAAGCAAGTATTTATCTACCTACTTATTTGTGGTGCGAACCCCAAGAAGAAGGAAAATAGGCTGGACCCCAAGCCTGATTGGGGGAGTCTGTTAGAATTCCTGGGGGTAAATAACGGTAGAGGAATGCCTGCAAGGGTAAAAAAACATATATACCTCGTTCTAGTTACAGTTGACCTGGAAGGTTAAGCGGGGTGTTATGTGATCTGATTTGATCTCATGTTCAATATGGGATCATATACCTTATGGGTTATTCTGTTATGTTTTATATTTCTCAGTGGGTTCCAGTTTTTGGAGACGTCCAGCCTGTATACACTCATTCTGGCCTCCTCCTTTATGACTAGATCAAGGGGTGGGAGGTTTAGAATGATTTCCTTAGAGGTCGCTCCTGTAATACAAAGACATGCCAGCCTCTGTATTCCTGAAAGGGTATTGAGAACCGTTTTCTGGTTTACTTTTGGCAACCAAACAACCGCTCTATAAGGTATCAAGGGTCTTGTTATTGTTGATTATAGAGAGTGGACCATTTTTGGTTTTAATCCCCACGTTTTCCCAAATGTCCGTCTCCCTACAATAGGAGATATTTTTGTTGTAAGTGTTGGTTTCAAGTAAGATTGCTATCCAGGATCAGACAGATATTTTAATCTATTTTGTTCTTTTTAGCCTTTCTCCAAACTGAAATCTCTAACCTTGTTTATGGAGTAGAGTTGTGCCTTGTCAGGGTTTACCAAGAGGTTTTCCCTATCACATCATATTTCTGTCAGCCTCTATAAACATTTTTTTATTATTACTTTTTATTTAGTGATGCTTCAATGCTATTTAATCATACTTTCTTGATTCAGAAGTTCGTCTCTACATTTTTGAGTTCACGTAGCCCAAAAAAAAGTATGAAAATCAACTGCCGCCACTCTTGTCTCCTAGGAGCCCTGGAGAAGAATTAGAGTGTAATATTAAAAAAAGACAGATAAGAAATTAGAGGTCTTAAATGAAAAACACCAAACGAGTTTACTGCGTGATCGTAAACAGTATATATACAGAAAGTTTTTAAGCAATAATTTTTAACACGATAAACAAACAAATCAATGATTTATTACTTTTATTTTTTGTACTACAATATAAATAATCAACCTTTTTGGGTCTAAGAAAAAACATCGAATTACAAGTGGTTCAAAACATAGGAAACCACGAGATCGAAAAAACAATATCGAAATAAAAAGCAAATCGCGAGGGCTGCAAGCCGTACAGGTTAGGTAAACTAGTTTATGATTTTGAAATTCATTTCTCTTTTCCGATCTTTTGTATTTCGATCTTTTGTTATCGATATATTTTCCTATACCCATCCGTTTTGTTTAAACAATTTTTTTACGTTTATAGATACATTAAAATGTATATACAAGCATATATATCACAATTAGAACAGATCTTTTTATTAACAAAATATATATAAATACTTTAATTATGTTCACTTAAGATATGTACAGCCGTTTTTTTTTTATATATTATTAAAAAATAAAATTGCTTTGTTCCCATTTTTCTGATCACTCTCTGTAATCAGTTTTGGTTCTTCTTTTTGAGCATTAAACAATATTCGCTAAAATAATAATTTAAACAAAATAAAAAAAAATAAAATAAATTAATTTTCCTGTACAAGAACGATCATAATATACATAATTAACGATTGTATAGTTTTGATAAAAAATAATTTAAAATGTTTTTTTTTTTGAGTTGATGTCACCAATCGAAGTTAATGATAGTTAATATTAAAATTGAAAGGAAATGTATAAACAAATGGTTTTTTGGCTAATACTACAACAGGCATTAAATTACATCAAAAGGAAAACAGCAGAGATAATTGTTTTGATTTGGATTAGGAATTCTATGATGTTCACCACACATGGATGGTTATCGCCCCGAAAATTTGGTTACTTTTAGAACGGACCAACTTCCTATGCCGCTTGTAGTTCACACCACGTTTGGTTTAATAAATAGTATGTCTCTCTCATTCTACCCTATAAATTCTTCTACTCATTAATAATCAAACAATTTTCTGTATCACTTCATTTTTAAATTTTCGATACCGTAGATTTTTACTTATGAATTCCAACGATATAAAAATGTTCTTTATTGACACTCCTTGGTAATACCTTTTAAAACAATATCTCAACAATTTTATTAATGAGTTGAATTTTCTCGAACAAAACGGAAAGAAGTACAGCTGTTATAATAATCTTTTAGCAAAGGTATATAAAAAATTTTAATTGGGAATACATTTCAAATTAATTTTAATCAGAACTTTACATGGGATATTTCCCATAATTATTATGATACAATTTAACTATTTTCATAAAAATATTTACAACCCAGTAATTTAATTACTGAACATCTCGTTAGATCATTCACAGTATCACACACTATATATGAGTAAAAATATGCGATTAGTTATTTGTAATTTTCGCAATTTATTTATGTTTTCTGTATTTTAGTCCGCCTTCTTTTAATCTCTCCCAATCGAATTTATTGTCAGTTCTGTCAAATAAGCCAGTGGCATCCCAAGCAGCAAGGTGCCGTCATTACGTGATTTTTTGGGTTTAGTCGTCAGAAACGTCACTATCCCAATTAATGACGTTACTTTGACGTCGTTTTTGCAACGTTAATTATGCAACGTCACTATGACGTAATTTTTTAGTATTCATTTATCCAAAATACAATATCCTAATCAGTAACGTGTATTTGACGTCGCATTGATGACATAAAATAGACGTCACTTAGAATTCGTCATAATTATTTTTTCGTATATTTCTTGCAATGTCATATTGTCAATTGGCATTGTTGTTTCCTGTTTCCTCCATCTTAATGATTCTCGTGAGTGACAGTCGTGACGACCTTGTGAACGTGGTGCATTTTTTAGATCTTTTAGAAAAAGGTAAAAAATAGAATGTGACAAAATAATAAAGTATATTAAACCGAATTTGGTATTTTACAGATGTATTGCATTGTTGAGTTTGAAAAACCGGATGATGACGGTCTGGCGGTTGTGAGGTGAGCAGAAAATGGCTGACGCTGCGTAAAAAACAAGTTTTTTGGCCGCCTTTATGGAGAAATATACTATAATATAAGACTGGTTAGTAATGTTATACTTTTATTTTTTGATTATGAGTTCTTTCAGGGTATTTTTTTAATACTTAGTTTATTTAAAAATAAAAGATTTGTAGGGGGTCACTTGATTTAGATACCTTTTATCATCTCACAGAATATATTATCTTTTTTTCATTAACTTTTATTATAAATTCAGATTATATGTATATCTCTGAGAAGGTAGTTTTTACAACTAGATACACAATTTACTGTCTATCTTTAAGAATTTTTAGTGGTCTGTATTTTAATAGTTCTTTTATTTTAGATGATAATGATAAGTGATGTACCAAATTAAAAAAAGTCGAAGTTACCTCAGATCTACATTCCGAGGTTGATAAAGTACCTACTAAAAGAAAACAAGTGCCAACTAGAAAGATGTCATTCGATGATACTGAAGATGATAAAATCGTCAACATGCTCGCCCACCCCCAATTAAAATCAAATCTACAATTTTAGGTATGTTGTGTCAATTCCTCTAATATTCTTTTGTCATTTTATTCCTTTTGGTTTCTTACTCATGACTTTTTTATTTATCAGTGTAATTTATTTTTTATAATATATTTTTCATGTGTTTTTTGGATTAATTAAATAACTTTCATCTCCTAGTATTTTTAATAATCCAACCTTGGGACACCCAATATAGACGTCATTTTGACGCTAGGTAGATTCGTGATAATGACGTCAATTTGCCTAGCCCACTACACCCGATATACACGTTATTTTAACGTGATATCGATTCGTCAAAATGACGATATAGAATGACGTCATTTTGCTGTGATATTCTCACGTTACCATAACGTTATTTTCACGTCACGCACACCAAAAAATCACGTTATAATGACGGCATGATATTGCATGGGATTGTGTTGGGGTTACAGCTGAAGATATTAATATTAATTTTGTCAACTGCTAACATCTGTTAGGTTACTTATAGAGCAACAGTTACGCTAAAATAAGACGAGATTCAAATACAAAATATTAGACTGAGCCGGTATTTTAAGTCTATCGTCAAATTCAAGGTATCTGCATTACCGATATCACTTCTTAAAACATATTAAAACATCTTAAAACATCTTAAAACATCTTAAAACATCTTAAAACATCTTAAAACATCTTAAAACATCTTAAAACATCTTAAAACATACTAAAAACAAGTTATTTTTAACAGTTAACATGACATTTTTGACATTAACATATTTCTGGAAATTATCTGTATTAGATCAATCTTACTTAGTTGAATGCACTCAATATATTTTCGTTTATAATTCAGTATCTTGTGATATAGCTGTGTCATCTTAAAATATCTTAAAACATGTTAAAACATCTTAAAATGTCTTAAAACAAGTTATTTTTAACAGTCAACATGACATTTTTGACATTTAGCATGATATTTCTAAAAATTATCTGTATTGGATCAATCTTACTTAGTTGAATGCACTCAATGTGTTTTCGTTTATAATTCAGTGTCTTGTGATATAGCTGTAACGTCTTAAAACATCTTAAAACATCTTAAAACATCTTAAAACATCTTAAAACATCTTAAAACATCTTAAAACATCTTAAAACATCTTAAAACATCTTAAAACATCTTAAAACATCTTAAAACATCTTAAAACATCTTAAAACATCTTAAAACATCTTAAAACATTTTAAAACATCTTAAAACGTCTTTAAAACATCTTAAAACATCTTAAAACATTTTAAAACATCTTAAAACATCTTAAAACATCTTAAAACATCTTAAAACATCTTAAAACATTTTAAAACATCTTAAAACATCTTATAACACCTTAAAAACAAGTTATTTTTAACAGTTGACATAACATTCTTGACATTTAGCATGTTATTTCTGTAAATTATCTGAAGTGGATCAATCTTACTTAGCTGAATGTTCTCAATGATTTTCGTTTATAATTCAGTGTCTTGTGATATATCTGTTAGATCTGGTATTATTTAAGTTTTCCAAATTGGTCCAGTTCTATTTATATTGTTTATAAACGACGTAACAAAATGCTTCTTAAACAGTCACTATCTTTTGTTTGCATATGACCTAAAGTTTTTTGGCATAAAGACCAGAGATAAGTAACTTACAATCAAATCTGGATCGTTGCAAAATCAATCGTTTGTCTCTTAACGTTAGCAAACTTGCTATGACTCATTTTATAAGATCCTCCAACATTATCACGAATGTTTATAAAGTAGATGATTGTTATATTAGATAGTGGCTCATCCATTGATGATCTTGTCATCATCCTTCACTCTGTCCTGACATTTAACCAACATGTTGGATCTATCGTTTGCAATGCATTTAGAATGCTTGGCTTCATCCAAAGTCACACTTCTCACAATTATGATAACAAGACTACTATGTCCCTTTACAATTATTTGGTTTGAAGTATTCTTGAATAATGTGGTGTAGTTTGGGAGACTTTTTAGACAGGTCATATTAAGAGAATTGAACGAGTACAACGAAAATTTTTCAAATCTTGCGTTTGCTTTTATATGGCATGTAGTCACTTGAAATAAGAATGGAACAATATTTTGTTCTGTTTCTTTTTAAATTATTCAATGGGGTGATCTGATGCGACATTCTTTTGGAAAATATCACTGTTCTGACTCCTATTCGGTGAACACAACACACTTTTATGTTCTACGTTAAACTACATCGAACCAACTATAGATAAAGGAAATTCTCTAACCGTATTTGCCTAAAGTACAAAGTTCGATATTTTTAATATAAGCTTACCAACCCTTAAAAGAACTCTCAAATTCTTGTGTTTTTATTATGTTTGTATTTTTATTCAATGCTTAATTATACTTTAGTTTGAGCTTTGTATACTTCTTAGGAAAGGTATTCCTGTATGTTCACAAATAAAATTTTAGCTATTTAATTATAGTGTAATGAGTAGTAAGTAAGATATCTGGTCCCTCTTTAAAAACGTTTCATACGTTTGTCATATCGGTAACAGAGATACCATCGATATATTAAATCACATTTAACCAATAAAAATCCATTAGAATCAACGGAAACATCCAGAGTAAGCTAAAACATTCGCACTATCTAAAAATTACTGAGACTGAGTGTTCGAATCGGGCCTACTATACATTAAAGTCTGTTGATGCTGAATCGGAAGCGATATGGGCACCGTAACAGGTACTATAACGGGTCCTTGCAACGGCGGAAGGTGCATGGTGGTCGTGGTACTACTCACAGTACCCGGATTGGTGGTAGTTTGATAAGACATCGGTTGTTGGACTTGTTGAGCGCCTTGCAGTAGACCCAGTCTGGCCATCAGGAGTTGTTCCGACACGCGTCTGAGTTCTTGCTGTTGGTTGTTGATCATGGCTTGAAGTTCTGCATGCTTTCGTTGGAGGTCGGCTTGTAGCTGATTTTGGGCCGGAGACATCACCAGGTTATCCACTTGCTAAAAATGTATATCAAGGGTGATATTACAGAAGCTCTGCAAATATCAGTTGCAGTTGCAAAAGAGAAACATGGTATTACAGAAACTTGTTTTCACTTTTTGCGTCTGCAAATCATCTGTAACTTTGTAACAATTTTTACTTCATTTACTGTTTTTAATAAATATAAAGTCTTCTGTTACTATTTATTGCATACTTAGTTTTTAAACATAGTAATGAATTTTGGTTATTTAGTGTTGTTTGGGGTAATTAAACACAATAAATATTGCGCATTTGCAGTTACTTTTTATACGAAAAATTAATACTTGCATCTTGCATCTGTAAGTCCGCCATATTTGCAGATCTGCAAAGTTGCAGACTAACATTTGCTTCTGCTTGACCAATAGCAACTAAACCTAAACTTTGCCGTTTTCATGACGTACTTACCTGGATTGGCGACAAAACTCCGGCAGAAGGAAAATTTGTTATCAAACTTTGAACTGGTATGGCTGCAACGTACTGTTGAGGATCTAAAAATTGGGCTGACTGCATTTGCTGGGGCTGCATCTGCATGGGAAGTTGCTGCAAATGGGATTGCGGCTGAGCTTGCATTTGAGGCTGGACTTGCTGTTGAGGTTGAGATTGAGGCTGAGGTATTTGAGGTAGAGGCTGTTGAGACGAAGGACTTGACTGACTGATTAGTGGGGCTGATGTGTAGTTGCTTCTCGATTTCTGTAAACGAGTAGATTAATATAAATGGTCTGTATACTGTGAATATATTAATTTTTAATTGATATAGAGTAATATCACAAAATTCTGAAATACCCTTTTCATTATATTTATCAAGATTCAGACAATTTGTTCTGAATTTATTTCTAGAGAAGATAGCAACTCCTCCATGCTCAATATTTTGATCTCTATAAAAACTTTCTAGTATATAACCAGGAATAAAGTGGTACTACGTCACGGTGACGTATTGTGGTGCGGAGACGTGGCTTTTACGAATTTTAGGTATAAGCTGATCGAAAACAACGCGTGAAAATAAATTGACTTCGCAGATAGCCATAATCTGCACTACACTATGTCATGCGAGATTTCGTATTATACTTCTAAAATTTTTTGTATTTATAATAGTATTAAATTATGTAAAAATAAATGGTTACCGAGGTAGACTGATGAGTGCTCATAGACTGCCTGGAACCTGGTGAATCTGCAGACATTGAGGTGCAATCGGAAGATGGCCCCTGACGTAACACACTTTTTCCAGCAGTAGTACTGGGCGCTCCTGTACTGTTACCACCTCCGGTCCAGGACATGGCTGCTGACGGTGATGGTTCTTCGATTTGTTCGAAACTTTCTGCCGGTGATAACGTTCCTTTACGATGTTTTCTTAATACGTCGTTGTAACTGAAATATCATAGGAAAATATTTTTTTTATTATTTCTTAAATGTACAAGAACTCAACTTGTAAATAACTACAGATAAATCTCTTGTTTGTAACCACTCGGATGTTTCGTTTATCGCTAGGCTAGGACCAACCTGTCATGACTCACGAGTGCTACTCATATTTCGTAGAACGATACGTCGAACTGGGATACATAAGAATATTTGGTGATTAGCACGGCATTCTTACATAGACATTCATTTGATACGTTTCATTTTATGTATTATTATTCTTAACACCAATTAAATTCCATTCTATATTAAAATCCGATTTATTTCATTTAAAATTAATTAACATAGTTTACATGTCTAAAAATAATTGATATACTTTTCAAACAGACCTCGTATGTTATAAAACGTGCTTGTTTTCTAAATTGGTGTCAATTATATCTTGTCATAATAAAAAAAAAATAAGAAAAAAGTGAACATCTCGGCTCTCTCAGAAATTGCGATTAATTATAAAAACACTGATTTTGTATTTTCTTTTTATTACAGATTATGTAATCCAAAAAAGATCAAATCCGAATATATTTATTACAAACATAGATAAATAGACTAAATTCCATTTGAATAATTAATCATCTCTATTTAGAGTGATTTCCAATATTTTTGTTTACATAATAGTTTACCTTCTTTTCATCGTGTAATCGTATGAATGAAATTTATAATAATTTTGATATTAACTCAATTTAATCTTGTTAGTTTGGTCTCTGGTAATTGGATCGTATAATCATTATTCATTAATTTAACACTGTTTACAATCTACAGGTTGTCCAATCATAACTACCTGTTATTACTAAGGAACAAGCGTCTGAATATTAGGGTTAAAAATAACAATATTTGTTTCAAATGTTCGAGTATAATAATTTGAATCATGAAAAGAAATGTGTTAGAATTTAATACAGATGAGCTGGGCTTCAAACAGTAGTTTGTGCAACAATAGTGGATTAGACGACTAGTTGGAGAAGGTCCACCTAGTCCCCAAATTAGGAGACTAGGAAAACTTTTACATGACTGGGGACACAACAGGAATGCACACGCACAAGATACACAAACAGGCGACATAACCGGGGTAAGCCTTCAGCAACGTCTTGTTTAAACGATGATAGTATGTCATCTTTCATTCCCTTTTAGAAGGCATGGCATATAAATCTATTGATCTTGATGACCCTAAGAGGAGTTAGCAGGGGGTGTACGGAATGGGTCTAGCAGGTTTCGATCCAGTTTACAGGATGGGAACTTACTCGTCTCGGGCCTTATACATTTGTGTGAGTGTATGTGTATGTTTGTTTCGTTTCCATGGTTTCTATTAAAAAAAACCAGTCATAACATATCGATACCTTTTTGCCAGACTAACGTAAGCGACATAGCACTTATGAGATTGTCAACTTTGCGAATGGTAATTGATGAATAAACGTATGTTTTGAATATTAGTGGTAAAAACTATTTGTATTTATGTAATAATAACTTTTACCTGACAACACGATGGGTGCAAACTATAAATTCTGGTTTAGAATTCCACTGGTGATATGTAATGTAGAATCTTGTTTGTAACCATATCCATTGCTGCCCCTTGGTCAAAAACCTGCAAAAAATTTAAACTTATCATAACCGTTAAATTTAAAAAAATAAAAACCTTTTTTTTGTATGAAAGATTCGTGGCATAAAAATAAACACAATTTTTTAGACTAACCTATAGTAACAAGAAGTACCTTCTCCTTTCTGCATGAGAGATTCGTGGCACAACACTACCTTTTCCAAGTCATCCACATGGTAATAATCGTACCCGGAAGTACCTAATAGTTCAAATGGTAAGTACCCTATAATAGGCGGCGCCCTGTGGTCTAAAAAAAGAAATTTCCATTCTAAGCTGTGTCTTGAAGTGAATTCGCTTTTTACAGAGTCCAGCAGCGGCATTTCTTTGATTAGTTGAGGGGTTAATATTCTTCCGGTGCCTATGAAAACCAGCCTAAAAATAATACAAAATTGAAGCTGACTAAACAATATTATATGCAAATTTTGTGCAGATAAGACAGTTATAGAAATATTATAGACACGTTCATCAAGCATACCTAAAACATTCCTGTAAAATGCAATGCTTGAATTTCCATATTTGCAAAAAATATACAGATAATTACAAAAAGTAAGCTATGATTTTTGTTTAAGAGTTATTATGTCGTGTTTTATTTTTGAAAATATATATTATATTCCTCGCCTTGTTCTCAATGGTCATAGGCCGCTCTGTGGCCACGTATTTTAAAGTATAAATACTCTCAAAAGTATTTAGAAAGTTCCAAAATAACAACTGGTTGTGCCAGTCCTTCCTACCTCTGTCCCCGTTTCATCGTACTCAGATACACTCTTAATTCATTCTTTCTTTTCATGCGCAAGTGATTACACGTAAATAATTTGATTTCATTATTAATTATCAAAAATACTTAAATGGGTAAATCAAAGAAGAACATTTTTACAACAGGACAATCTATGTCCTCCAAGGATTACAAACTTAAAAACAAAATTATAAAAAGAAGTTGAAAGCAGAAGAACACATCGAAACACATAGATGTCAAACAAAATGGCGGCACAAATGGTGTTTGTTTTAGATATGAATTCGAATAGTATTAAAAAATATACAGTATACACTATGATACAGGCTAGTTACTGGTTTATAACTAAATCATGTATATGATTTAATGCCTAGAGAACAGGCTAGTTAATGGTTTATAACTGAGTCATATGTATGACAATGCCTGTGGATCTATGTGGATTCTTTTCCTGTATATAATGCCAGACGCTGAAACATGGGTTTTAAAGTCACAAAGTTTTTGTAATTCCCTACACATGTATTGCAATTATGAACATTTGAAACAAGCATTTTCTCTTTTGGTAGATGGAGCAATTTTTATCAAGAAAATTTTGTGAGAAATCAATAATAAATTTTTCATATAGTGCAAACTTATTGGGTCACTCTGTAATTATATATTTTTAAATATAATTTATCTAAATTTTAAAATAACTTTTTTTTTATTTTCTTATCTTGTAACTTCCAACCAGTTATGTTATAAGTATCAGGCATTTATCGTTGCTGCTCAAGTCATGAGTGAGGATCATATGTAGCCTTCCAGGAGCTAGCCCTAAGTCTACAGGAGTAGCATTAGTACGTAAAAAACAAGAGGCAAATCAAAACACCTACAAGAAGAAAAAGCAAAATAAAAAGAAGGAGAAAAAGGAACTAAAGAAGATGAAGATATGAAGATAATAAGTGAAAACGAACAATACATTTTTTTATCAGAGAGTGATCAAGATTTGTGATGTTTTGCTATGTCAAATTTAATGTTCTATTACACTTTTGATTGTGTATTAGAAATAAAATTAATACTGTAAAATGCTTAACAAGATACTCAAAAATTTTAACTGAGTTCTTAGGGAAATAGTATGAGGTAAAAATAAGCCAAAATGGCTAAATACTTTTTTAGTTGGTAACAAAAAGTGAACAAAATAGCTGACATCATGATTTGTCAATTTAGGCGTGCATGAAGATGAATTAATTAAAAAATTCGAAACCATTCTTTTCTTTTAATTTTCACTTTGTAAATAATAAGAATCCACAAACTTTTCACACTTACCTCGTATCCGCTTCTCCTGAATACCCGCTGTATCGATTTTCAGTGTGGACGCAATCTTCGTCTGACCCTGAAAACAATAATTCAGGGATTTATATTTCAATCACCTGCGCTTTTTTGCAATCAAGCTTCTTATACAACCCGAAACGAAAGTTATTTTTCTATTTGTCTGCAAGCTTGTTTGTTTGTAATCTAATTTCAACGCGTCAGTCGTATTTCCCGGAATTATTTATTTACTGATCTGCTATTTTATACAAAGGAAACTCGATCGATGTAGTTAGAAAACCGTGAAATTCGAGCTGTTCCAAAAACCTGCATCATTTTCCGAAAGGGCTTAATCGAAATGGCAGGAGGAAATTGATAATGATACTCACATTATAATAATATAGAAAATTACTCTGTCTTTATTTTCCAATAAATATAACAATATCTACGGGGGTTCGGACTTTAAAAATGTTAAAATTTACAAAAATATATATTTTCAAATGTAAGATTTTGTTATTTCCAAAATATTGTTGTTCTCTTCATTTAGACTACGGTTGTTCTATTCCTTTCCACATTACTTCACATGTTTAGTAGTTTCGTATGTCGGTTCATCATATCTTCTTCTACATCTACTTTGTTTGCTTCCTAAAGGCAACATTTGGGAAGGCGAGACCGAGGCAGACGACAAGCGACAGGCAGCAAGCAGCAAATACTGCCGTGTTAAAAGTGCTGACGCCTCTCTTGCATCGGTCGCGCTGTCCTAAATATTTTTCATTTAATTACATGTGTTCAAACGTGATCTCGTCTTCCTAAATGGTACCTTAAGTTTTCTCGTGTCTCTCCTCTGCTGGTCATGTTTTCTCTGCTTTTTAAATTAAAGTACAATCATTGTCTCTTTTATGTCAATTTATCTAAAATTCATATTCAATTTATTACATTTTATTATAAATTAATTTTACTATATTTCTAACTGGCTTTTGATTTTTGTGTTTTATCTAAATAAATATCAGGGTAGTAACTGTAAATTTTTCTACTAGGGTTTTTATTATCCCCTTCCTGGAGTCGTCGATTTTCTTTTGGAGTGGGTGATTAATTTGACTCAACGAATTCTCCTGGAAACTAGATTTTCCTTTCTTGGATTTTTTTTTGGATTGTGATTTTGTTGCTGTAAACGTTAACCAAGGAACTCAAATAAGAAGAAGCTATCTATTCCTGAGTGGAAGGAATCACGCAAGTTTTTCATTTTTTTTTTGTTATTGCTATTAGCATTATGTCTCATTTTATTTATTTATTAGCTTATTAGATTAGTTAAAAGCTAACGATTATTTTCAATCTTGTGGCTAAATTCGTCACTAGCTTATTAAGCTTAACTTATAGTTTACTCTTTATAAAGTTTTACTTAAATATTGGTTCACAAGTATTACTCAGTTTATATTAAACATTGTTTGCGTCGCTTACCTGGCTTACAGTTAGGCTGGTAATTTGTAAACTGCGACTAAGGTCTCGTGATATTAATAACTTTTTTTTTATTTTTATTTTAATTGTTCTTACTCACGCATGCGCCTGAGCTCAAGCGGTGTGTGCCATAACTTCTCATTCGTACGAAAAGTTGCTACATTACTTAGCGGCCTTAGCAACCAGTGTAATATAATTTTAAGTAGGCACATAACTAATTATATATCAAGTGTAAAATGTCTGAGGACATGATTTTTATTTTCTGTCTCAATCTCTAATGTTGTAAATATTTGAATACGGATTTTTAATGTTGATTTATTGAAATTGCTTCTATTATTAAAACCATTTGAATTGGACTTACGAGTTTATTTTACTGCGAGTACATTGAGACTTTTGCGATATACTCTTTGGTAAATTGGGGGTATATCAAGAATATTTGGGGTTAACTTGTTTTCAATTTATCTGGCGCCCTATTAACATCAGTATAATTTTTGTGGACCGCACGACCGTCTCCACTAGAGTTTTAGCCGCGAGTCATCCCAGACTGTCATCGTATTGATGTACGTCTCGCTTGTAATTTTCGTTACACCAGTGGCGGCTTGTCGCCAAAATATAAAAGGTCTTTATAAAAACATAAAACATATTCCTTAGACCAAAATAAGTCGATTTAAGTAAAATTATCTTAGTACAAAGTTGCTTCGTTTGGGCTCCAGAGGGCCTTAAAGTTACAATTTTTAAATCGTTTTTCCCATATAAATTTAAAACGGCATATGCGATTTTGCTGAAATTTGGTATATTGGTAGAGTTTTATGTGGCAAAAAAATGGTATTAAAATTTTGTCCGATAATAATACATAGGCGTAGAACTTGATTTTTTAAATAATTGCACCTTTAAAATTCTACGCCAATGGAAGAAAAGGAGTTTGAGTATGAAATTTAGATTGCGCAACTCATTTACTTTAAAAAAATGACTCTTGATAAGACTCGATTACTCTCATGGTTTTCGCTAAATTTCTGTTTTAATAATTTAGAGTGTATAGGTTTCACAAAAATATTTATTTACAACTTAATCAAAATAGAGATTTTACAAAAATTGTTCAAAATGTTCACTATTTTCACGCATACAAAGATTTATACGTCGAAGAAAATTAAAATGTATCCTTTCCATAACTTCTTCATCACCTCTAAGATTGTTTATTGCATCTTGAATACGTTGCCAGAGTTGTTCCTCATTTTCTACAGGTTTCCTGTAAACTGTGGATTTCAGATGTCCCCATAAAAAGTAATCCATCGGTGTTAGGTCTGGGGAACGTGGTGGCCAGTTTACAGGTGCGTCATTACCTCTGCATATCAATTTGTGTGGATATTGTTCATTCAAGTGGTTTCTAACGTTTAAAGAAAAATGTGGTGGAGCTCCATCTTGCATAAACCACATATCTCTCCGAAGTTGGAGAGGTAAATTTTCTAACAATTCTCGTAACGTATTTTGTAGAAAATCCAAATAATTTTCTTCAGTTAATCTTCGTGGAAGTATGACAGGACCAACAATGAAATTACCAATTATTCCAGCCCACACATTAATTTTGAATTCGTGCTGAAAATGGTTTACCTTTATTGCATGCGGATTTTCAACGGCATAAACATGTTCATTATGGGTATTAGTTATACTTCTTCTTGTAAAACCCGCTTCATCGGTAAAGAGAACCTTCTTGACAAAGTTTGGATCTCTTTCTCTTTGCATATTAACAAATCGACAAAAACCCAAACGAATTTGAGGATCATGGACTAATAATTCTTGTACTGGCTTCTTATGGTATGGATATAGCAATTGTTCTCTAAGCACTTTATGAACGACATCTTTACTTACTCATAGTTCCCTTCCAATTCGTCTGGCGCTTAATTCTGGATCTTCTTCAACACGTTTTAAAATGTCTTCTTCAACTTCAGGAATCTTTACAAAACGTTTTCTTCCATTATCAACAGTGTTGGGAGCAAAGGAACCGGTCTCCCGAAGACGTCTCTCAACAGCAGCAAAAGTTGGGTGGCTAGGTATACGACGATTTGGAAACCTTTCAGAGTACACCCTGATACTCTCTCGAGTATTTCCTTCACAAAATCCTAATGTCAGTAACATATCGGTATATTCTGCATTAGTATATTGTACAGCCATATTAATAAACCACGCATTTGTTTTTTTAATTATTGAGTCAGATAGAACACTTTCAGTCGTTAACAAGAGATTAGGTGTTAAAACTTGACAATATTTTTATTTAGATGAAACTATGGAAACCAACAATAAATGTTTTGTATACGTATTGCAGGCAAATAATTAATATTCCTCAAAAAATCGTACATGACAAGATCGAGTATTTTTCTTAAAAGTCTCGATTATAGATGTTGAAGAAGATATGAAAAAAGTAAATTTTTATGTTTTTCATCGTATAAAATTTTGTCCGATAATAATACATAGGCGTAGAACTTGATTTTTTAAATAATTGCACCTTTAAAAATTCTACGCCAATGGCAAAAAGGGGGTTTGATTATGAAATTTGGATTGGGTACTCATTTACTACAAAAAAGTACCCTTGATAACACTCGATTTACTCTCATGGTTTTGACAAAGTTTGTATTTTAATAATTATTGTTTATGTTCTAAAATTACTAAAATGCAAATTTCGTCAAAACCATGAGAGTAATCGAGTCTTATCAAGAGTACCTTTTTTAAAGTAAATGAGTTGTGCAATCTAAATTTCATACTCAAACTCCTTTCCTTCCATTGGCGTAGAATTTTTAAAGGTGCAATTATTTAAAAAATCAAGTTCTACGCCTATGTATTATTATCGGACAACATTTTAATACCATTTTTTTGCCACATAAAACTCAACCAATATACCAAATTTCAGCAAAATCGCATATGCCGTTTTAAATTTATATGGGAAAAACGATTTAAAAATTGTAACTTCAAGGCCCTCTGGAGCCCAAACGAAGCAACTTTGTACTAAGGTAATTTTACTTAAATAGACTTATTTTGGTCTAAGGAATATGTGGTATGTTTTTGTAAAGACCTTTTACAGACACCCTGTAGATCTCAGTACATGTTTAGGTAAAAAACTTTTCAATGTTTATAATATACTTTTCTGAAACAAAGTTTTTTACCTAAATATGTACTGTGATCTATATTCTGTTATTGTGAACCCCCCATTATTTTGGTCACAAACCGTTACTGTTTCTAACCTCTTCTTTTCGATCCTTATTTAGAAAATATCCTACAGGCATGATTTATATTAATAGCAAGTTAGAGGTACCGAAAATAAAGAAAGATTTAACAACGGAAAAAAAATTATACAAGAACGATTCTTATCCCTTTTACATCTACTTGTAGATAAACCAAAATTCAGTGGATTCGGTAGCACAAATGATGGCAATACCAAACTGTTTTCGGAAATAGCAGATGTTGATCAAACTCTAATAAAAAAATATCCAATTTATTTGTCTTGCCAGTACCAACTAGATGCAGAAAAATTTGAAATTTTTTGTCATGAAACTGACAGGCTATACATGACAAATATTCCTGGTCTGCAACCATTTATAAAGTTTTAATACATGGAAGACATATAATGGAGAATACCAT